TAAATATGGGTTGGTACCGGAAGACGGGGAAGATAGTAGAGATTAAGAAATTGAATCCAGAGACTCTGCCCGACTGCGATTTAGTCAACCCATTATGCAGGAACAGTCTTCCCAAGAATATACCAAACTAACTGTAAATATTGTGTACCTATTCTTTGTTTCAATACATTTTGTTAACGTACATTTTGTGTTGTATTATTCCATGCTTATTTAAGCTTCAACACTTTCTTTCTTTCTTTCTTTGTTCTCCCCTTTTCTTCTTCTTCTAATGACTAACTTCTTTCTGCCTTTCTTACTTTCTTTCTTTCTTTCTCTTTATTCTCCTCCTTCCTTCCGCTTTCCTTCTTTGTTTCATTTTTTCTTCTTTCTGCCTCGCAACAACAGCAAAGATTTCTTCTTCTCCTTCTTCATCTTCTTATTCAAACGATAAACTTCTTTTTTCCCTATCTTTCTTTCTTCTTTTTCTTCTTCTTCTTATTTCCGCTTTCCTTCTTTCTTAATTTATTTTTTCTTTCGGCCTCCCACAACTGCAATAACAATTTTTACTTCTTCTTTAATGTTTTAACTTTTGTCTGCACCTCCCCAACGATTTGTCTTTTACTCTTTTTTCCTTTTTCTACTTTTTCCTTTTCATTCGTTTTTTTCTTCTTTCTTCTCGTCTCCTTTAAATCCGCCATTTTCTTTTGCCTTTTCTTTTCTTTTCTCTTTCTTTCTTTTCCTTTTCTTCTTCCAATTTCTCTGCCTTTTCTCTTTTGTTTTCTTTACGTCACATTTCTTCTTTGTCCCTCTTCTTCATCTTTTTTTTTCTTTAAATTGCCCTTCTCCTTCTCTCTCTTCTCTCTCTCTCTCTCTCTCTCTCTTCACATAAAAACGTTCATTCTTCCTCCTTCGATTGTCTTTCAGACCTTTCCTCCCAGATAGACTCTCATCTCCTGTGGACATTCTCTCCAAGGACAGGGTCCTTCTGAGTTCTGTTCCCGGGAACAGAACAGATTTTGTCAAGCAGACGACCAAACAAATGTCTGTCCAACCGACTCTCCCAGCTTCCATCTTTTGTCGTTCGTTGTTGTCGACGTCCATCTCTTCTCTGGATCGATCGACCTCTGTGACATTATGGACATAAAAAAATAAAAAAAAATAATAGGTTCAGGTTTGGGGTCGGTGTCAGTGTGGATGTTTCAGGTCGGCAGAGTCGAGCATTTCGATGGAAAAGGGCATGTTGAGGCGAAATCACATGAAAAAATAATTTTTAAAACAAGAAGAAGAAAAAGAGGAAGAAAAACAACAACAACAACAACAAGGAGGAGGAGACGAAGGCGATACAGGAAAACAAAGACGAAAAGAAGAAGAAGAAGAAGAAGAAGAAGCAGAAGGAGAAAACAAGTACAAAAAAGCAAAAAGAAGAAGAAAAAGCAAGAAGAAAAAGAAGCAAAACCAAGAAGAAGAAGACGAAAAAAGAGAAGGAGAAAACAAGAAGAAAAATGAAGAAGACGAAAATAAGAGAAAACGACAAAATGAAGAAAACACAAGAAGAGGAAGAAGAAGAAAAAGAGGAAGAAAAAGAAGAAAAAGCAAGAAGAAGAAATAATAATAATAATAATAATAATAATAATAATAATAATAATGCTGGAAGAAAAATTACACAGAAGGAGAAAACAAGCACAAAAAAGCAAGAAGAAGAAAAAGCAAGAGGAAAAAGAAGTAAAAGCAAAAAGAAGATGAAAAAGCAAGAAGAAGAAGAAGAAGAAGAAGAAGAAAAAGAAGAGGCGAAAACAAGAACAAGAAAAGCAAGAAGAAGAAGAAGAAGACGAAAAAAAGAATTCGAAAACATGGAGACGAAAAAGCAAGAATAAGACGAAAAAAAGGAGAGAAAAAAAACAAGAAGAAAAACGCAAGAAGAGGAAGAAAAAGAAGAAAAGAAAGAAGAAAAGAAGAAAAGAAAGAAGAAAAGAAGAAAAGAAAGAAGAAATAATAATAATAATAATAATAATGCTGGCAGAAAAAATTACACATAGAATAAAATTAAAAAAAAAGAGTAATTAACAGTTAGAAGAATTCGCAAAAAAATAAAAAAAAATAAAAAGAACGACCATATGAGAAAAAGGGTGAAAAAAAAGGATGAAAAAAAAAACAAAAAAAAAAAACAGGAAGGTATGAAAAAAGCTGCGCATGCGCATGACTGGAATTGAAAGCAAGGGAACAATAGAATCAAATTACACGTGTAGGTGTTTTTTTTCGTTTTTTTTTTTTTTTTTGTGCGTCCGTGTGTGTGCCTGTGTGTCCCAATGGAATGACTAGAATCACGAATGTGTCCGGCTGTCACCGCTTTACTTGCCAGACCTCGTGGAACTGGAAGATGGCAACTTGCATTCAAGCCCCCCCTTTTTGTCTTTTTTTTTTTCTTCTTTTAACTAAAAGCTCCTCCAATACAAATCTCAAGATACAAAATAGTTATTAGATAAGGTTACCGTATGGACGCAAGGAGGAGGAGGAAGTGCAGTCTGAGGATATGTAGGCTAGATAACGCTTGATCCTCCTAGAGGTCAAGTTTGTACTGATCGAGAAAGCATCCTCTTGGGAGTCTGTTCCACAAAGCAGCGGTTCTCTGAGAAGAAACAGTTTGAGTGGAGCTTCTTTCTTACGAATGAAATACGAAGGGAATGGGGATGATTCGACCCTGTGGATGTGGCATCTGAATTGTTCCAATTAAGGAATTCTTACTTTTTTTCTAAGCATTTCAACCCCAAGCAAGGCGGGATGCCACTAGTACGAAAGGGGTTACAGAAAGAGAGGCGGAGTAAAAAGAAGAAGAAGAAAGATGGGGAAAAATAGGTCAAAAGGACTGGAGATGTCGATTGACATTACATTTGAATAGTTGGAATTATAGCTATCAAGAATGGAAAACAGTAACAGGAAGGAATTCACAGACGGGAGGTGCGAGGCATGAAGCTATTGGAGTAGAAGAGACGGCCACATTTAAACGTTTCGACAGTGAAAGTTAGGACCATGATGTCAGCCTAGTAGCACGCTTAAATTCATACACTCTGGGAACTAGCGGAGCAGTTACCGTGGAAGTATTTGTAAAAAAGGCAGAGGGAGGCGACGGCACGTCTGTTAGAGAGTGACTGTAAATTCATACACTCTGGGAATTAGCGGATCAGTTACCGTGGAAGTATTTGTAAAAAAGACAGAGGGAGGCAAAGGCACGTCTGTGAGAGAGCGACTGTAGACGAGATGACAGATCAGGGGCAATCACATTGCTTATCCGTCTCTGAATTTTGTCAAGGACCTTAAGACGAACAGCTGTGGCTCCAGACCATATATGGCAGCAATACTCCATGCAAGGGCGAATGGTTGATTTGTAAATTTGAAGGATCAACTCCGGCGAGAAAAATTTCCTGGCGCGGCACAGGGAGCCAACTTTGCTTGCCGTGGATGAAGCTATTGAGTCAATGTATTCGTTCCATCTCAGGCCAGCAGACAACGTGAGACCGAGCAGTCGCAAAGAGGTGCTCTCGTGGAGTTGAGCCTCAGACATTCTAATGGGAGGCAGGGATGGTTCTCTGTGGTGAGTAATAGAGAACAGTTTTGTTTTTGAGGCATTAAAGTTAACCAGCCAATTCCTGCCCCAGTCCACAACCGATTGGAGGTCCTTTTCGAGACTAACGGCCAGGTTAGTTTTGTCAGCGATATCAAACTTGCTATTGAGGCAGGTATAAACAGTGGTTAGGTTTTTTTTACGGTTTATCAACCCATTTAAAGGTTACTTAAAGCCAGAATTTAATTTTTAGATTGAAAGAATCTTTATTTTGGGATATAATAATGGATTAGGGACGTATGTCTTATTATTTAACCCATAGCTGGGAGGGGAGAAGAGGTGGATTCATACCTAATCAGAATTTGATAAACAAACAAGGAATTATAAAGTGAATATAAAGTGGGGGGTCAATTTTATATTACAATCAGTATATAAAGTGATCCCTCACTTTCTGTATAAAATATATATATATATATATATATATATATATATATATATATATATATATATAAAATAAATCTAGGAAATAAATCTAAAAACATGCCTGTGTAACTAATCAGCATTTGACTGATTGATTCGTTTTATGCAGCTTATCAACCCTTTGCAGGTTATTTAAAGCCAGAAAAATATTTTTACATTGTAAGAATTTGGGTGGGGGATAAAATTATTTAATCTAGCTGGCTTAACTTTTGCATCGAGAATTAAGAAACGCAGCTTGTCAATAGTGATGGAAGTGCGATAGGCTTGCAACATTACGTCTCTAGGGAAAGTGGCTGCAGGATGGAAAACTATTCAGCACCCGCAAGGCTACGTAAGCAATTTTGAACTCTGTCACGGCTCGAAAAGGAGAATTCGTCTAGTTAATAATCCTCCGTTCCTGTCCGATTGAAAAACCTCGAATTAGAATCTTGATTTTCGCGTTTGGCGTATCCACCGCGCACCTGGTAATTCTCGAGCGGTCACACTTCTGGATACTGACCAGGCTGGACGTTGCTTAACTTCGTAACTTAACTTAGTGAATATAACGAACCCAACGAGAATTATCAACCGTTTTCAGGTTATTTAAAGCCAGAAAATATTTTTACATTGGAAGAATTTGGTGGGGAGCAATAATGATTTAATAATACAAGTCTTAGTAAGTAACCCATAGATGGTGGAAATTCATACTTTCTGAGCCATTATCCATTACCCCACCACCACACCCAAGCTTACAGCGTCCGTAATTCCCAAGCGGTCACCCATCTTGGTACAGACCAGGTTCGACGTTGCTTAACACCGGTGATCGTACTATCACCGGTGATTCAACGTAATATGGTTGTAAGCCTTTTATACTACTCACGCATTCAAGCTTACAACACCTGGTATCCAGAAGCGGTCACCCATCTAGGTACTGACCAGGTTCGACGTTGCTTAACTTCGGTGATCGCACGAGAAACGGTGATACAATGTGATATGGTCGCAAGCCCTTAATACTACTTCCACATCCAAGCTTACAGCGTCTGGTATTCTCAAGCTGTCACCCATATAGCTACTGACTAGGTTCGACGTTGCTTAACCGCGTGATACTAGCGCCTTATTTAGAATCAGACAGAAACACTTGTTTGCAATTCACATATTTTGGGGCTACCTGGAATATGAACAATTATTCATTTTCTCGTTTAGCGTATCCTCCGCGCAACCAATTCTCCTGCCCGTAATTCTTTCTCTTTGGCGCAAGAAGTCAGGTTCTGTATTTAAGAGTTCCCAGTAAATGCCGTAAAATCTATTCTACACAAGAATTTGGGGTTTTGTTTCATTGGAAGAAAAATATAGCCTAATACTAGTTTGGTCAGAAAGTCCTGACTCAATTTGGAAGCGCAAAGAAAACAACAAATCTTGATCTTTGTCTGGAGGAATTTCCAAGGGAAACTGTATTTCGAGCTTGTACCACACAGGTCGCGACCCCTTCTGGGTAATAGGATAAACTACATGCGTGTCCTGGGTAAGACGATAAACTACGTCCAGTAGCAAGGCCTCTGATCAAAAGGTTTTGATGAACGCGGAACCACCTCTTAATTGCTTGTGTTCCCAGATCCAACCTGACCCGGGGTGGTAGCACTTGTTAGGGTCCCAGCTATGGGCAAATAGTTAACTCCTAAACTGGAGACTAAAAAATGTAAAAAATAGGTTTTGGTACCAGAAAACTTTTTTGTAAAAAAATTATTACCATCAATACATTATTAGCAGGAATACATTTTTGAAGACAAAAATACCAGCAATAAAAAATTTTTCGGCATAAAATACCCCATTGAGGTTGATATGCCGTAAAACAAAATAAAACAAACCTCATCTCCAAACTGACTTTCTTACAAAGAATACATATTCTATTCATACGAACCTGTCCTAAAAATTTTGTCGGCATAAAATACCCCATTGAGGTGTTGATATGCCGTAAAACAAAATAAACCATACCTGATTTGCAAATTGATTTCTTACAAAGAATACATATTCTATTCCTACGAATCTATCCTAAAAATCTTGTCTGCATTAAATAACCCATTGACGTTGATATGCCGTAAAACAAAATAAACCTAACCTGATCTACAAACTGATTTCTTACAAAGAATACATATTCTATTCATACGAACCTATCCTAAAAATCTTGCCGACATTAAATAACCCATTGAGGTGTTGATATGCCGTAAAACAAAATAAATCGAACCTGATCTACAAACTGATTTCTTACAAAGAATACATATTCTATTCATACGAACCTATCCTAAAAATCTTGTCGGCATTAAATAACCCATTGCGGTGTTGATATGCCGTAAAACAAAATAAACCAAACCTGATCTACAAACAGATTTCTTACAAAGAATACATATTCTATTCATACGAATCTATCCTAAAATTCTTGTCGGCATTAAATAACCCATTGAGGTGTTGATATGCCGTAAAACAAAACGAGTTGCGCCATCAACGTTAAACTGTATCCCCAGTAACTAGACCGCATGTGCAACAAACTAAAGAAGGAGTATCCTGCTTTAGGTCGGGCTCTGTTTCTAGTTCCACGTGCCATGCCTTATCTGGATATCTCAGTTTCAGTTAGTTCATTTAGTAACTCAACTCTCCAAGGTTTTGTTCACCTCTGCTGTGGCCAGGTATTGAACTCACAACCCTTTGAGTCAAATCACTAGATTACTTCAAACAACGATTTTTTTCCACTGGGCCATGCGTCCTTGGGGAAAAAAGGCATGGCACGTAGAACTAGAACAATCTACCCCGGTGGACGAAATAAAGGGTTCGTTTCGAAATTCCAAAGTATATCTCCTGAGGAAAGCCGGAGCATACAACGGCTGAAACGCCGTGCATATAACAATAAAGAAGAGGACAGCCGTCCGAACAATGTAAATAGTGTAAATAGTTAAAATAACTCATCTCAGAAATATAGATAGATCCTGAAGAAGGCCGGAGCGTACAACGGTCGAAAAGTTGTGAATTTGATGATAAAGATGAGGACAACAGTCCGAACAATGTAAATAGTGTAAATAGTTACAATAACACATCTCATAAATATAGACAGATCCTGAAGAAGGCCGGTGCGCACAAGGGCTGAAACGTCGCAAATAGGACAATACAGATGAGGACAACAGTCCGAACAATGTACATAGTTACAATATCTCATAAATTTTAACAGATAATGAGTGATTAATTGATCTGGGGTTTTTTTTTTACGGTTTATCACCCCCCTTTGCAGGTTATTTAAAGCCAGAAAATAGTTTTAGGTTGTAAGAAGTCTTCGGGGAGAATAATGATTTACTGATATACGTCCGGCTCTGGGTAAAATTGCTGAATACCAGGAATGGAGCTTGTGTAAATAATAAGATAGTCTGAAGATTGGGTTCAAGCGCGAGACCGATTGTTGCTGATCTGTGTTGATCCCAGTGTCCACATATTCAAAACGAAGAAATGCTTTTTAGATTCTAAGAATGTTTGGGGTGACAATAAGGATTTTAGTGATCCAACTCTTAACAGATAGATAGATAGATAGATAGATGAATATGGGACACAATGAGATAGATAGATAGATAAATAGATAGATAGATATGATAGATGAGATAGATGATATAGATAGATGATAGATTGACACAATGGATAGATGAGATAAATAGATAGATAGATAGATAGATAGATAGATGGATAGATAGATCATGATATTAATAGATAGATAGATAGATAGATATGATTGAACCCAGATATATATAGACTATAGATATTGATAGATAGATAGATAGATAGATAGATAGAATATGGACAAACTGAGATAGATAGATAGATAAATGATATGGAATGAGATTAGGACAGATAGATATAGATGATGAATAGATAAATAGATAGATATGGAAGACTGAGATAGATATAGATAGATGTTAGAAACTGGGATACATAGATAGATAGATAGATAAATAGATAGATAGATGGATAGATGATATGGACACACTGAGATAGATAGATAGATGATAGATAGATAGATAGATAGATGGACACACTGAGATAGATAGATATGGACAAACTGAGATAGATAGATAGATAGATAGATAGATGAATAGATATTATGGACACACTTGGAGATAGATAGATATTTAGATAGATGAATGTAATGGACACACTAGATAGATATGATAGATAGATATTCTGTGCATACCTTTACGTCAGCAAATAATTGCATTCTGATTGAAGGAACCTCTCTCTCTCTCTCTTGAGATAATACACAACACACACACACACACACACATTTACACAGATATAACAGTGAGTGAATGAAATAGATAGAGAGAGAATGATGGAATAGAAGGAGATGTAGATAGAGAGAGAGATATATATTTTGAAAGAATAGAGAGAGATATGTAGATGCATATTATTATTAATGAATAATTGCACGGCATATTCTATCCATGAATTTATATGATCCTTTCTGAAATTTTGAATTTTAACCTGAGAGTTAATAATAGATGGATAGATATTTCTGTTCCAGCGTGTAATAAACCCAAAAAATTGCTACGAAAATCCATGCTGCGCTCGTCCTTGATTGATTGACTGATGGCTGGCTAGCTAGGATCGTCGATAATGGAGAACGAACGGTCGAACGATTTTTTAGATAAAAATCCGATGACAAATATACCTGGTGCCGGGGGATATTCGGCGAAAGGTGGATCGATGCGTTGGTTTCTTTGGCGTCCGGATGGTAGATTTGAAAGATAGATGAAAGCGTGATTTATCCGCGCGGAAGTATCAAATATTGAACAAATAACGAGTTGATCTAATCTGATTTGTATTTGGACCGCGACGTTAAGGTCATTGGCAATTTCAAGGTGAGGCAGATATTTAGGAAAGGTGGCGGTGGCAGGGAAATATAGAAAGGTATAAATGGCGAATGGGGTTAGTGGGAAAAGAAAGGTATATTTATGGGAACAAACAGGGAAGTGAATGTGTTTGGGGGGGAATAGCGAATAGCGCGATAAAAGATTAATGGTGGGGGGTTGGAATATGGAGGATTATTTTCAAAACAGGAAAATCGAATGTGAGGAGATTTAATTTTTTTTAACACCTAAATTCAGTAACCCTATTAATTGCATTATGTTCTTCTCAGTCACAGGCAATATATATATATATATATATATATATATATATATATATATATATATATATATATATATATAATCATATAATAGATAAAGTGTCTGATGATCCGCAGTCCTTTAAAGGACTGTGTGTGAAATAAAATTACATGGAAACTTAAAGTGGTCTGTTTTATTTAAAAATTATTTGTCAAATAAATTTTCTCTAATTTTAAATTGATCATATATTTTTATAAATTCATATGCAATAATATCCCTTCAAATTTTTATAAAAATTAGTCTTATTTCCGTGCATATATATATATCATGCTCAAATCAACAATTAGATATTGAATTGAATGTGTATATTTTGATGTTAACGACCATAAAAAAAATTATAGTTTTTCCTTGTATTTCGTCATTCTTTGACTTACCGGCTTATTTGATAAGTAATTCCGTCTAATTTTGTTGGTGGGCGTATACAGTTTGGGATTTAATCCTTCAAAAATTCCTTCTAGAAACTAAGCATATTTAAAAAATATAAACATTTTTTTTTTTATATATATATATATAAAAATATTATTTTTTATAATATATATAAACATCGACAAATAAGGAATAACAAAATAATTTTTTTTTTTCCAAATTAATTATATATTTGAAAATTTATTTTAAATTTTTTTTTTTTGTTTTTTATTTTATTTATTTATTTTAAATAAAAAATTTAAATTTCAAATTAATATTTATATATATTTTTTTGGGTTATTCTTTTTTTTTTTTTAAAACAAAATTTTTTAAGAATAGGTAACTTTCAAATTCATTTTTAAAAATTTTTTTTTTTTGTTATTCTTTTATTTGTCGATGT